GTATCAATATAAGCTCATTAATTTTTATAACAGTCTGTGAAATAGGTAGTATTATTGCCACTTTTTTTTTTTTAAAGATTTATCTGTGCATACAGAACTGGAGTACAGGCCACAGGCTCAGGGGCGGTGAGAGGCTTCACCAGAGACAGAGTGAGGAACAGAACAGGCAGATGGATGAAGTACACTGCTGAGGGGGAGCAGCGGGCGGGTCAGGAGAGGTCTGCCACACCATGTGGTCACCTCCGGGGCAGGCGGGAATCGAACTCTGGCGGAAGTGGCTTTAGAGTCTCAGTGTTGTGCTTTAACCCTCTGCACAACCAGGGAGGGCCGCATTGCCACTTTATATATGAGAAAACTGAGGTACAGAGAAGTCAGTTAGCTTGTCTAAGATTATACGGCTGGTAAATGGCAAAGCTAAATCCAAGGAATCATAGCTTCTGAGTCAGTCTTTGTATTTTTCTTGGAATATTTCACGCAATTAAGAGGAAAATATAAGTGCTCTATCAACAGCTATGAAAAATGTAAGAAATCTATATTTTAGCAGAGGCATAACTATAAGGCCTTAAGTAAGCCAACATAATAAGAACTTGATTCTAGTCAGAAGATACTCTTTAATGTGAGCAGGTTTATGTGAGCTCAGTAGTGAAAAGATACAGGGTAAAGGAATAGCCACTTCTCCGGGATAGCCACACCTACCTGCCATTGAGAGTGTGCAGACACCAGAGTCCAGGAGGCAAGGACTGAATGACTATGAGAGCGTTGCCATCATCTTTGCTCATGGAGCGGTGAGCAAGGAATGAGATATAAGACCAGCAATTTGGGGGCACATTCGGAGTGACGGTGACGCTCCTGGGTTGTGTGCACACTCACCATTCCCCAACACAACTGCATTCATGTGCAGACACTCATGCATAAAAGCATACACATGTTCACGGGTCTACACACACACCTTCCCTCTCAGGTGGCCCAATTCCCTCTCTTGCTAGACTTTTTCTTGGCTTAGTGCCTAGATTGTATGACCTTTCAGATGCAGCCAGGGGGACACCACCCATCATTAGATCTAGTGAAACAATTTGTTGAACATGGTCTGTTCTCACCCATCCTCTAAAAGATGGAGAATACCAACTTCCTCAGAATCACGCCTAAATGGTAAGGACTCATGGTGCAAGGAACTAGTGGGAATATAAAACTACAATAAGAGCCTACTGTTTGCTCAGCGCTCTTCCAGGAAATACATGCCGATGCTATATAATTAAACCTTTACCTTTTTCCTAAAGAGGTGCTATTCTAGAAGAGGAAATGAAAGTCGGGCAAGGCTGAGCTCCTGGGAGGGCCACCCAGCTGGTCAGTGGAGGAGTTGGTATGGGATGGTATCACTTATATGCGGACTATAGAGAAGCCAAACAAAGGGTCAGGAAAAAGATAAAACCAGCAAACTGATGATAGATCTGAAGCATTCTCAGTGGGACAGGACCAGGAGGGGTCAAAAGTCTTCACTGCACTATCAGCTTAGCTGTTTCACCTGCAGGTAACTTTTCAAGTCTCAGATTAATCTGGGACTGTCAGGAATAGGAACTTTGAGTTCATCTTACATGATATACACATATATGTACATAATATGTGTACATGTATATCCATGTATTTACAGGTGCACAGAGTACAAGATGTGTGTAAGCATTGTATGTGTGACATATATATCATGTATCATAGATATTCTATATATAGTATTATAGATACAAATATATAGTGCAGTATAGAATAGAAATGAATATACATTTATAACCTATCTGCTTATTAACAACCTATAACTATGAATTATATAGTTCTAAATGAACATATTCATTTTATAAAATTTAGTAAATATTTAGTAAATAAAGATGACGATTACTAAATTACTTAATTCAATACGCAGTTTTAATTTCTAATGCAGTTCATCTCTCTCTCTTCATGTAACCTGCATTAGCAAAACTATTGAAGACCCATACTAATTCTGAGGCATATATAGTAGTCCTGAAATCCGAAAGCCTCAAAAGCCAAGTTTTCAGGGGTTTTCATGTGTCTGGTTTTCCAGCTGTACTTGAAGAAAAAGTTGTAGCCAGTGCAATAGAAGAATTTCTTTATTCTTCTATTCTCTCAGGGATCTGTGTCTTTCCTGTGAGACTCCTCAGACTATATGAGTTGTGCATGTCTGTGTCAGTCTCACCGGGTATAAATTCCTTGAGAGGAAACACTTTGCTTGGCTGACCACTATTTAATGATCTCCTGGTGTCTTGTGTTTAACGGTTAGTCAGCAAGCATGAGAAAGGTTAAGGCATGACTTAGCGATGGACTAGGACTAAAGAAGCTGTTTGTCTAAACGAATCTATTAAACCTCCTATATCCATGTTTCTTACAAAATAGCCCCTGTGAGGGTCTACACTTATTCTGATAAAGACTGTTGCCTAATATATGTTTGCATCTTGTGCTTTATGATTGTTTCACTACAGACCAAGACTAGGAAGATGTATAAAGAAATATGTTCTCACTGTGGATAAGTACTTTCCTTCTGGGTCAGTTTAACTTTTTGAAATTGTTGAAGCCATGTGAGAAAGGGCTTGAAGAGCATGACTAGTGTCATGACAAGTGAAAGAAAACTTACTTGTCATTTCCCGTCTGCAGCCTACCACCAGTTCCAGCAATTGCTATCCATCTTATTTGTGTAGGTCTTGATGTTCCTCTAGCTCCTGGACAGACTTTTGACTTGACATTCTGTTCTGCTTACTTAACTTTGTCTACCAGCTCCAGAACCCGAACACCATGAAGCAAAATTGGTCGACGCCTCATATTCAGGATGTGTGGCAATCGAGGAATACAGTGTATTGCCTTGTAATAGTTAACCAATTTACTGCTCAATATTCCTCAATTTACTGCTTGTTATCTTGAGGCCGTTAACTTGGAGTGGGAAGACCACACCCTTCATCTGAATTTTCCTTGGAGCAAATTTTTAATAAACTTTTAAGAAAATCTTGTTTAATCTTGTTTCAAAACCTGAGACTTTTGGGGACATTTACCAGATCTATGGTTAAGGGTTTTGTATCTTTCAGTTTTCAGAATGGTGTCTAAAGTCTGCTTCATAGCTGTTAGGATGAACTAACTCACCAAGTGTCAAAGTATAATTTTCAGAGTTAAAATGACTCTCATACAAGTATTACATAGATGGAGTTCGTGCTTTGGGTCAAAGTTATTAATGAGGCAGCCAGGAGTTTGAAAAAGCCAGGTCAAAGCAGGCAATGAAGGAGTGAAATTTGTATTTCGTCTAGGAATGAAAGAATAGTAGAGGGCTGAAAAGTCAGATACAAAATTGTGTTATGTCCTAATGTCCTTCTTAACAATGCAATCATGAGTTTTGGAATTGCCCTTTCTACTGGAAATAGCTTATTTGCACGAGTGAACATTTAACTTTACATACTCTGAAGGGAATCAAGTGTCTGCATAATGTAAGACCCCGGGTAGGGGCCGCCTCACCGCACACAGAATTAGAGCAAAGTGGCATGCTATTTTATTGTTATTTACCAAAATATATTAACATGATGAAGGGGCTTCAGTTGTTCAATCATTTCTGAGGTTTCCTATGCCCAAAGTCACACTGATGGATGGCAGGTCTAATGGTCTAATGTGGTTTTCCATAGCTGCTAACTCACCCATCACTAATCGTATTAAGCTGTTAATTCCCGGTAGTAGACACAGTTCCCAAAAGTTGAATGAGCATCATTCAATGAAGCCATGGTGTTATCCTTATTCTAAAAGAAGATACCTCCTTTGAACGTAATTTGCATAACACATTTTGACTACCACAACTTAAGTGTCACATCTTTAATGTATATTTCCATGTAGACGACATTTGAATTGGAATTTCTGGTGATTTGGACAACTTCCTCTGTCCCACACTATGAACTGACGATTATATTAAATGTTATGAGCAGAATGTTTATTCAGCCTCTTCCCTCAAAACAGGAACGGCAATTGCTTGGGACCAGAGGGTGAAATACGAAGTAGCAAACTAGAAGTAAAGCACACTTGAGAATACATAAGTCATCTTTAGAGCACGAGAAATGGTCTCACCAATGTATATATCCTAGTGCTTTTCCATTTTTATTGAAAAAGTTGCCATCTAAATTTTTCTATTTCACATCTGACTATAATTCCTCTTAGAATTCTTAGATTCTTATATCTTAGAGGGTATACGCTGATGTCAGTTACTTTCTATCTATCACTATCTTTGCGTTCCTCTTTCCAGAATGCCCACCTCAACTATGACGTGTTAGGTATCGCTACTGGGAATAACTGAATTTTCATGTGCTGAAATTCATCTCTTTGGTGGAGCACACACACACACACACACACACACACACAAAATAAATAAACGCTTGTTTTCTCTGACAACACATCATCGCCATGTCTCCCGCTGCCAAGTCTTTGCAGGGTTCTTTGCAGGCTTCGGAGGTTTCCCTTCTTCTCTAATTATCCCTATTCTTTGGGGCTAGACCCCCTGCCTTGCACAACCCAGAGGGGGACCCTTGAGCTTTTTAAAAACAGCCCAATTTCTCGCCTGTGGAGAAGCAAAGAGTGCCCCGCCCCCAACTATGAAAAGAGGGATTTGATAGTTTCAGTGACTTCAACTGAAAGATTTAAGTCTTTAAGCACCCGCCACGCAGGACCCCCGCCCAAGGCTCACGAGCCCACACCCATGCCGTCCTAAGTGCTTTGGACCGGCCCGGGAATCCTCGTCCCAGTCCACAGTTCCTGTGGGTCTGTACGCAGAATTCATAGAGGACCTGTGTTACTTCCTTTGCGAAGAAACAGAATTATCGTGAAAATTTAGGTGGAAAACCTTTCGGTTTTGTCCCCAAAAGAAGGGAAGCATGTGCCCAACCATCCCTGAGAAAAAGAACTTTCAGGGGCAAAGGAGCGAATAGGTAATTTAGAAGAAAAACAGAAAGTGGTCTCCAAGTGCCCTGGACTTCCCCGGGAGTTGGGGGAATTGGGGGCGCCTGGGCGCTTTGTCTTTGCAGCTGCAGGGGGAAAAAACGGAGAACACGAAGCCTGAGGCTTCTCGGATCCTTTCCCGACCAAACGCGGGTGATTTCGTGCGGGGCATTTTCCTTTTTTGCCCCTTTTGTGAAGTGGAACAAACACAACTTGGGCGCACCGCGGCGGCTGCGAGCCTGCCAGCCAGGCGGGCGAGCCGAGCACCAATCAGCGAGCGCCTGCGCTCTATATATACGGCGCCCGGCCCGCGCAGCCCATCGGCGCTTCGCCACTTGCACCCGAGTCCAGACCTTCGACATGTCGGAGACCGCTCCCGCCGCTCCCGCCGCCGCGCCCCCCGCGGAGAAGACCCCGGTGAAGAAGAAGGCGGCCAAGAAGCCCGCCGGGGCGCGCCGCAAGGCGTCCGGGCCCCCGGTGTCCGAGCTCATCACCAAGGCTGTCGCCGCCTCCAAGGAGCGCAGCGGCGTGTCCCTGGCCGCGCTCAAGAAGGCGCTGGCGGCCGCGGGCTACGACGTGGAGAAGAACAACAGCCGCATCAAGCTCGGCCTCAAGAGCCTGGTGAGCAAGGGCACCCTGGTGCAGACCAAGGGCACCGGCGCCTCGGGCTCCTTCAAGCTCAACAAGAAGGCGGTCTCCGGCGACGCCAAGCCCAAGGCCAAGAAGGCGGGCGCGGCCAAGCCCAAGAAGCCCGCGGGGGCGGCCAAGAAGGCCAAGAAGCCTGCGGGGGCGGCCACCCCGAAGAAGAGCGCCAAGAAGACCCCGAAGAAGGCGAAGAAGCCGGCAGGGGCTGTGGCCAAGAAAGTAGCCAAGAGCCCCAAGAAGGCCAAGGCTGCCAAGCCCAAGAAGGCTGCCAAGCCCGCGGCCAAGGCTGTGAAGCCCAAGGCCGCCAAGCCCAAGGTTGCCAAGCCCAAGAAGGCGGCATCCAAGAAGAAGTAGGCTGCCAGGACGCCTGCTTCCGAAACCCAAAACGGCTCTTTTCAGAGCCACCACTTGTCTCAAAAAAAGAGCCGAACACCCCCTGTTGCCGAGCCCCGTAGCGCGCACTCCAAGGTCGGGGTGGGCAGCGGTCACTCGCTCCGCGAGCGGCGGAGGCGGTGGCCCCCGCCCTGCGGCCTGCCCTTCGCCCTGCGGGGCTCGGCTCGGGTCGGGTCGGTCGGGGCGCCAGTTCCCGTCAGGGACTGGGGTCATCTGCGCGCCCCGCCCAGCCCGGCTGTGAGAACTGCAGAGACAGCAGCGAAGCCACTAGGCACTTTCTCGGGCTTCCGATTGGACTGGGAAGTCATTCAAAAGTCCCGCCTCGCCGGCGGGTTGGCCCGCGCCCGCAGCCCGTCACTGTCAGCCCGCATGTCATTGGTGAGTGGCTGGGCCCCTCTCGTCTTGCTTCTCTTGGTTTTTTGCCCTTTAATCCTCGGACTTTAGTGCCTGGCATGTATTAAAGGCCGTGTTTTTCGCAGTCAGGTGGTCAGTCTCGGTGTCGGTATTCCACCCGCAAAGACAGTGGGCGGGGCCCTCTTTGCTCTCCTCTTTTTTAATTCCCCTTTGCCTTGGCAGCAGCAGCAAAAACCCTCCTAAAATGCAGCCGCAGCAGCAGCAAGAGCCCTTCCAGCTCTTGAGAAGAGACTAGGTCCCAGGGATCCTGTGTGAGGAAGCTTTGGGCTAAGGTACGGCTTTGAAAACGAAGCACAACTTTAGTCGGCCATTTTGTCCTGGCAGGCGGGTCTGTGCTCAGTCTAGACAAACTGAAACAGTTAGGGTGTTTGACGTGCCTTGTTCATTCCAAATGTTTCTGTGTGAGAACAGAGGACTGATAATGTGTATGGGTGAAGATGATCGCTAATAAGGGGTTTTAGTTCCCATTAACAGTGCTGTCTGTGCGTTCCTCGTTTCACTGATTCTCCGGGATAGAGGAAGTCCAGCGTCCTGTTTTTAATTCTGCTGTTCTGATGGACACATTTTCTTGAAGCAGGTTCGGGGGTCGGGGGTGTGGGCGGGGGGTTCCTAAGACCTGTGTGGCCGCTTTTGTTGTGGAGCCCAGCCCCGTTCAACTGACCTGAGAAAGTTTAATCTTCGCATTCTTCAGAATCAGGAACTGAAAAAGCTTTGAGATCACAACAAGACACTTGCCCCGTGGTTTCTCCCAGTAACTTGTGAAATTTGCATTTAAAACTCCTGTTTTGCTGTTAAATATATGGAACCATCTTCTCACACACACACACACACACACACCCCACACACACTCCAACCACTTCTCTATTTCTCCCTCTTATCTCTGCCCCACCCCCACGAGAGATGCCTCCTTTTTGATAAGCTAAATTCCAAGGATAAGTGGGCTAGTTTTTGGTTTCCTACTTTTTTCTTTAGGTCTTTGGTCATTTCTAAGATGAAATCTCAATTTAAGTATGTTAAGTATGTTTACAGTGCTATCTTCAATGTTGAAAATGCACGACCCATTGTAGATAATTAAAAAATAATGGAATGTTTAATAAACATCCTTTATAACTTTTACAACTGATACAACGAATTCCCTCTTACCTTTCTTTTTCAGAATTTCCGGGTTATTTTTTGTTCGATTAGCTTTGTTTTTCCTTTTGTACTTTAAGATACCTTCACCCCTCATGCCCCTTTCAACCCCTGCTCCCCAACATACTTAAAAAACCCTTATCACCCTATTGGTTGTTTATGGGGAGTGTGTCATATTTAGAAATTTGTTTGGGGAGATACTGAGTTTTCCTAAGAACATTTTATGTTTTTCCATTTGTTCATATATTGTGTATCTGTTGAGGATATTTTTCTCCAAATATATCTTCACATTTTTTATTACCTTTATTCCCAGATATCCTATCCTACCTTCTGTGCTCCTGTTAGAAATAGCCATCTATGATATTTTAGATTCCCTGAGCACCACTAGCCCATAAATTGTACTTTGAAGATGCTCAGTTAATGAAAGGATCTATGCATGTGTGAATTAATAATTTGTGGAACAGTGTTGTCAGTAGCCACATATATAAGGAAAAATGAAACAGGAGGTGAAATAATTTACTAATATAATTTATTTAACCCGATATACCCCAGATATTATCATTCAACACAAAATAAATGTGAAAATGTTTGAGATACATAACATCTTTGTTTCTCACATGAAGTCTTTGATTATGTGTGTCTTTACACGGACAGATCGTATCTGTTTCCACTAGCCCATTTCAAGAGCACAATTAACCGTATTTGGCTCTCCGATAATATGGAGAGTGAAACTGAAGTGCTCTTGATCTCAAATAGGCTGGTCTTTATCTTTGATTTAAAATTTGATGGCCAGTGTATCTTAATAGCCACTGTCATCTGTGGAGTGACATTTCAGCAAGGAAGGATTTCTGACAAAAGGATGTTGTTGACTGATCCAGAGATCACTGGGCCAATATGAAACTATTACATTTTTTTCCTGCTCAATCACTGTCAATTAGGTACAGAAACTGGAGTGAACTGATGTTAAGGGTGGAGAGTTGTCTTCTTCAATACAATGTAAGAGAAACCCAGGGATCTGATGAAGAAATAGAGTAGAATGGAGCCAAAGTGCAGAGAACAATGGACAGCTGCAATGTCTGGGTCTCAGCATCTTCCTTGTTCCTGGTTCTTTGAGCCGCCTGGACATCTGCCACTGGGGCCATCTTATTAGTTCAGATTGGGTCAAGCTGCAGAAAGACTAAGACTTTCCCAATATATTCTCAATTATGGTGATAGCACCATGCATGACCTAGGGTTCCTTTCTCCTTCAGTTACTTTCAAGTCCTTGCATTTGGTTGATTTCTACACCACATCTAATGTAAGACAGGGCTAGAATCAAACTAAGCTAAGAGAAGTTGTAACAGGGTGGTCCCTAGGAAAACGGGAAGTTCCAGGTTCCCTGCCCCACCCAGAAGTAGGGTGGAACTGAGGAGAGAAAACGAGAGAAGGAAGCAGGATGGAGAGCCAGAAGGAGACCTGAGGAAGACATGTGGAGCAGCAAGCATGTGATGAAGAAACCATGCTTGTTTCTTCACCCTGGACTGGTTAAAGCAGATGTGGGTGAGATACCTGTAGGGAGGTGACTCTGGCAGTGTTTTATATTGATTTTGATGTTGTTCTTTTCCTCCCAGACTTGTCCAGCCATTTCTGACCCTTTTCCATGAGTCCCGGCCAGAAGGTGCTTTAGGTGACGGCTTTCAGGCCTTGCTTTGCGCCCATCCCTTTTGGATGGACTTTTGCCCACGAGGGGATTGGTGACTTCAGATGTTTGATTTAGAAATTACATTCTTTGTCTTTGGTATTGTATACTCACTGTATTAAAGTTCCTTTTCATTAAAGTATGACATGTTTTCTCTTGATGCGGCAAATGGCATATCTATTTGGATCAGGCAGGTTTGGGGGTTCAGTGGTGCCCCCTCTCCCTGCCCTGTAACAAAGTGATTCTCTAATTTTTCTTCAAACTTTGTGAATGCCTTTTGGGATGTCAATTTATAGGATGTACAATTGACTCCAAGTTGAATGTGTCCTGCAAATATATTTGTATAGATTAAGAATGTCTTTTGCTTTCAAATGAAAAGTAGTTCTAAAAATCGAATATATAAAAATCTCTAATTTTGCCGAGGCTTTCGTCTTCAAGAATGCTTCCTCAGTGTTTTTCATGTTTTTTACTTTTACTCCATTACCTCACAATTGTGCAGATAGTTGACTGACTTTCATCGAATGAGTCATTCACTTGAGTCGAAAATTAATCATGTTGGGAAATATGTATGCCTCGATTTTATTTAGTTCATGAAACCTGCATTTTATCTTGACATCAACATCTCAGCATTTAACATTTCAGCATCTCACTTATTATAAAATAATATGGCAATAACATATTCAAGTAATTGCCCCCACATAGCTCATTAGCCAAAATGGCAATGAATTTTGCATAAGCGAAATTGACTGATAATGCAATCGTGACAATTATTGAAATGTCTGTGTATGATACAAGTGTAGCAGAATTAAAGGCTTCTAGTAAGATATGGTTTACACCTTTTTTTCTTCTGTGGGAACACAGTGGTCTCATGACTCAAAAATTAAATAGCTTTTCTTAGGGAAAGCTCTAATAACATTTCTTCTGCGTCTAAAGAAATATAGAAAGTGACTTTGTAGTTTAAATCTGTGACAGAGGTGAGCAGGTCTGGTGCAAGACTGGATTACACTATTAGAGGATTTCGGAAGGGAGCAGGGAATTAGGGTGCAATGGCAACAACAGCTTGGTTTAGCTTTTCTTGAGCTCTAATTTAGAACGTGGCAAGCACGGCTACTAACTGCTTTCCAGTTTTCCAAACACATTCTAGATAATGCACTTTGAGATGATGTGATCACTACTTAAAATTGGATCATTACTGAGAATTAGTGATTTAAGGATGTAGCTAATTTCTGATCAGAGATCCAGTATAAGTATTCTCTGTATACTAGTGCTAGTCCACAGAAATGCAAAACACTTATGCAATTTAAAATTTTCCTGTAGCCACATTTTTTAAAAGAAAAAACTAATCTATTTTCATATTTTAGTTTCCTATGATCAAAATATTATTTTAAGTAATTAATCTAAAATATTAATGAGCTTTAACTTTTTCATGACCTGTCTTTAAGATCTGGTGTGTATTTTACATATAAAGCGCATCTCTATTTGGTCTAGCCCTATATTAAGTGTTTAATCATCAGGTATTGCTAATAGCCTTTTGCAGGAGAGGTCTGTACTAAAAGTTATGGAGAAGACACAAGCAAATACTTGCTTTGGAGCAAAATCCCAAGATTTCCAAGGAAATTATTATTCTGCCCTTGTTATGGTATCTAGAGAACATCTCTTAAGACCTGACCTGATGCTACTTAGGGTCCATTTACCTTCTTTGTCTCATATTGTGCCTCTGACAGACAGAGGCCTGTGATGATAGAATTTAAGCAGAGCAGTTCCTCCATCTCCCCTCTGAGGTAGTGCATTTTCTTTCTTTCTTTTTCTTTTAAAGATTTATTTATTTCTGCATACAGAACTGAGGTATAGGCCAGAAGTGCAGGGGCGGTGAGAGGCTTCACTAGAGACAGAGTGGGGAGCAGAACAGGCAGACTGACAAAGTACACTGCTGAGCGGAGCAGCAGGTGAGACAGGAGAGATCTGCCAAGTCATGTGGTCACCTCCCTGGCCAAGGTTCAGACTCCTGCTGAAGCAGTTTCCACTAGTTTCATAGTGCTGTGCTTTAACCCATTGCACCACTAGGGAGGGCCCCCGTTTTCTGTGACTTAGTAGCCACCCAGGAGGAAATTAGATTTGTTCATTCATTTCTTATCATTTTGATTGATAAGACGTTGGAGTGTGGATTTATGAATGGAGACAGTGAGAAAACTTGTTCTTTCAGAGTTATGAGAATTACAAGTAAGTCAGGTCAATTAGTTCACATGGTACTTGTGACCTATGATAGACTATCAATGTCAGCTATTGTACTCACTCCTCCAATAAATCCATGGTTTTTAGTTTCTTCCTATGATGGAGTCCACTGTAAAGGAAATGGTTAATGAGCACAGAACAGATCTATAACATGAAGTTATCCCAGGGAGTTCACCTTTATGGTGAAAATGTTCAGATTCCTCAGAGTGGACTTTGACCCTCCGCCTAATTTTTTCCTCCTGCTATCTCTCTGAGCCTGATACTATCATCCAAAGCATCATGCAAAATAAGAGTTTGTCTCAGAGGCCAGAACATCATCCAGGGTTAGTGATTCTAAACACCTAGATTGCTCTGCTGAGGCATTTTAGAACCAAGCAGGTGTAATGAGGAAGAGCATAGCCATTACCTAGAGGCAGATTTACCTTGAGGCTAACAAAACTCAAATGTCTGGCTCCACAACATCAAGGCCTTGGGAGGGGCCCTACTAGTATTTATACTTGGTCTCTTAGAATTACAATTTTATTTAAATAATAATTCGTTAACACTTATTTTTATGCTCTTTCCTTCAAATACAGCTCACCTTTTGTCTATTTGGATCCTACTGTGCATATCTGGGACTTGAATAAGAGAAACTTTATTTAAATATATATTTAGTAAGGGGTTGAAATGTATAATGTGATTGTCAGACATGTTCATATATAGCTCAATTGTTGCTAGGCAATCTGATATAAGAATGACTTCAAGGAAAAGTATGCTCACTGACAAGTTCATCTGGATTCTGAGCAAGATGATGCAAGACTAGATGTCATGATGACATCTATGTATTTGTTGGGGAGGAGAGAAAATGTTCCCCTTTGCATTCTTTTTGAGCTACTAAATTAACTGAAGTAACGTCAGACAGATTAGTGTGAGGAAAAATAATTACATACAGACAGGGATTCAACATAGGAAAAGTCCAACATGAGTGAGTAAAAATGGGAGTAGCTTGATTGATCTCAAGAATGGGATAGAGCCATGTCTGGATTTCAGAGAGAGGAGGGGGACACATCACTAGAAGGATGACTCATGATGAAGATCAGTTGCTCTGTAATTAGATGTTTGCCCTCCCTTACACAAAAGCTTTTCAGATAGAAAGTTTATTTCCACTAGTATCTTTGAGCCCCTATATTTATTTCATTTTTTTTAAAGATTTATTTATTCATACAGAACTGGGGTATAGGCCAGAGATGTGGAGGATGAGAGGATTCACCAGAGCCCTATATTTATTCTTCTAAGTAATTTAAAGGAATCATACCTTTTCATTTTGGCCTTACAGGGTTTCAGTTGACCTCAGCTACAATAGTCCACATACCAAATTGTAAGGCCTTTTTGAACATATTAGGGAGCCCTGTCCTTCATATCCATCGCATCCAGCAGTGGGAATGAATGGGTAGGAAAGAACCAAGACTTGAAATGCTCAGAACTGTTACAGGGCAGGGAGAGGGGCACCCTAGAACTCCCAATATTGACTGTGCTAAATAGGTTCTGCCATCTGCAGCATCAAGGCAAAACATATAAGACCTTTAATGGAAAGGAGCTTGAATACCACCAGTGTGCAAAACAGAAAAGAAGAATCTAGTTTCCAAATCGAATACCTGAAGTTACCCATACCCTCATGGATAAATGTCCAGCCAAACCGGATTGACCCAAAGCTAGGCCCAAAAATTTGCCTCATGGGTACCCATAAAGAAGGGTCAAAAACAGCAAGACAGGACTGGAAGGAAAAGAACAAAATCAAAATCAAGATAAAAGCTTCCATTATTAACTTCTCCCTGGGTCTCTCACTCACAACTGTTTCAGCCACTCCAGGACCAAAAAGCAAGCACAGCTTGTTCAAGTCTCTGCTCCATGCACCTCCTCCAGGTCTTTTTGCTTCCTTCCTTCTCCAGTCTTTCTCCATTTTTTCCTCCCTGCTCACTTCCACCCTCCCTTGGGTGGGCCACAGAACCTGGTATTTCCCGTTTTCCTGGGAACTACCCTGTTACACCAGAAGTCAAATTGTGAATAACACTTTCGATTTTTACAACTCACATGTGCAAACATCTTGAAAGATTTCCCAAATCTGAGAACAATCAAAAAAAAAATTAATTGACATCAAAACAAATTTTGAGAGCTCTAAATTCTATATCTATATAGAAATCACAAAAAAATAGGGCCCTCCGAGGTGGCACAACGGATTAAAGCACAGTACTATGATGCTATGCAAGGTCACTGCAGCACATACAATTCTGGGCCAGGAGGTGACCCAAAGGTGGAAGACTGCTCCAGGGCAACCACTGTTCCCCTCCTCAGTACACTTTACAGTCTGCCTGTTGTGCTCTCCATTCTTGTCTCTGGTGAAGCCTCTCACCCCACACCTCTGACCTGTTCCCCAGATTTTGGGTTCATAAAAAAAAATCATAAATAAATTACCAAAAACAAAAAAAAACACATGTATTTTGCAGCAACTCGGATGGAGCTGGAAAAGATCATGCTTAGTGAGATAAGCCAGAAAGAAAAAGAAAAATACCGAGTGGTTTCAGTCATAGCAGGACCAAACAAGAAAATAATAATAATGAACAGCCATATATATACCAGAGACATTTTGTGGGGGTGGAGTGGTGAATGGGATCAAAAAGTGGGGGGAGAGGGGAGGAAAGTGCAAGCCATATATATAACAGACATTTTGTGGGGGTGGAGTGGGGAATGGGATCAAAAAGTGGGGGAGGAAAGTGCACTGGACTATGATGATGATGGCACATGGCTGACTTGGTGATGGGAAACCCACTGGGATTACGATTGAGATGAAAAAAAAAAGTAAAAAATGATGTAAAAATAAACTAGTATATTATTTTAAAAAGTAACAAAAAATATTTGAAGATGGAGTATGTAAAGTCATAGAAAAATAAAGCATCACAGTACCAAAGTAATAAACCATGCTTTTATCTTGTTTGAGATAGCTGTAAATTTGAGAAACTGGAACTTGTTAACCTGTTTTGTTACATTCAACTTGGATTTGTAACATTCTGTTGTAATTTAGGTACCATCTCACTTTATATTTAGTTACAAATTACATTGTAAGTAATAACTGTGTATCAGGTTTTTTAGTATTTCGATATAGCCAGCATGACTCAGCTTAAGACCTACACCCCCCCCAAGGGCATAACTTTCCTCTATACTTTCAAGGACTACTGTCAATGCATTTAGATCTCGTGAAGTTACAGCCACTTTTAAACGTGAAATTGTGGGTGGCTCTGAAAAGAGCCTTTTTTCAATTGCGAGCAAACGTGCTTGTTTTTACGCCCGCTCGCCACGGATGCGGCGCGCCAGCTGGATGTCCTTGGGCATGATGGTGACGCGCTTGGCGTGGATGGCGCACAGGTTGGTGTCCTCGAACAG